TTAGAAGACTTAGAATGATGGAAAATGGCGCAGAATGATTAACCTAGTGTTTCCTCCTACTTATGCAGGGCTTAGTTCTGTTACCATTATGCTTCTCTGTTACTGCCGCTTAGCCATCAATTTCTGCTTATATCTGGCTCTTAGGATTTTCTTGCATGGTCATAGCTCCTACAGCTAGTCTATATTCGAGTTTTTCTCTTCTTGTTTATCTAGAGAAAAATGTTCTGCTGAATTGAATGGTATAATTGATCTGAATTAGCATATGAGAAAATATTCCTGTTATTGTAGGCTGCAATGAATGAAGTCACAATGGAGAGTATTTACCATGTAGCAATCTATTTGGTTATATAGAAGCTGATGATCTACCAAAAAAAAAGATCGAGGCAATTTGCAGGATGGTCAGAAATAACTTAAAATATGAAGGGGCAGGATTAACAATCTAGGAAAGCGTACAGAGAACTGCAACATTACGCGGTATGTTTGGCAGTTAAACAACATAACGATACAGTCAATTCAAGCTAACAAGGCAAGTGGAAACTTAATGCATATTTGTGCTACATGAAATGGTTGTGTGGCTTGAGGTTTTTCAGTTAGTTCATCATCCTCACTGTCATCATTATCAAGGGGATTGCAGGGATATTGCGTTGCTGTCCTTTGCTCGTCTTTTTGGCTAAACAGTATGCCTCTTAGATGAATGTAGTTCCTGACAATTCTAGTCTTTTTATTAGTCTTGGATGGTTTAGGGTGTTGCTCTTTAGTTTCATTCACGTAAAAAATGCATTAGGTTTTAAGTATAGTCTGTATAGAGGCAACTGGTGGATGGTTAAGCTATTGCAAATAATTGTGGGTGTAATTATTTGAGAAGTAATGGAATACTAAATTTGTAAGAATGTGTTTTAATTTGGGATTAGAAGATTTATAACCATGTAACGAGTTGTAGACTGATTAACTTGATGATTGTTGCTATTTATGCAGGGTTAATTTTAGGGAAAAATGCTTCCAGCCCCCAAAATCCAAGAAAACGTGCTCCCCCAAGACTTTGTCAACGGGTGTTTTTCCCCCAAAAATAAAGATTTTGTTCTCTGAGCCCCCAAAACACAAAACCTAAGAGATTAAAATATGTGAAGATCATAATATCCTTCTCTCTCTTTTTATCATGATGTACTGAGATGATAGTTAAAATGATTGATGAGGATTATTTTATTATTTTTGTTTTTTATTATTTTCGTTGTTGATGAGGGGAACTAACTATTTGTATTGGGAGATTGTTAAAGTTGCGGGTTAATTGTTAAGGTTACGAGTTAATTGTTAAGGTTACGGGTTAATTATTAAGGTTATGGATCCCTTCTCTATCTCTCTCTATCATGATGTTACTGTGATGATGTTGAAATGATTGAAGGGGATTGTTATTTTATTATTTTTGTTTTTTTATTATTTTCGTTATTGATGAGGAAACTAATTGTTTTTGTTTGTATTGGGAGATTGTTAAGGTTACGGGTTTAATTGTTAAGGTTACAGATTGGTTGTGAAGGTTACGGGTTTAATTGTTAAGATTACAGATTTGTTGTTAAGGTTACGGGTCGGTTATTAAGGTTACGGGTTTAATTGTTAAGGTTACGGGTTTAATTATTAAGGTTACGAGTGTGTTGTTAAGGTTACGGGTCGGTTGTTAAGGTTACAGGTAGGTTGTTAAGGTTACGAGTTGGTTATGAAGATTACACGTTGGGATATATATGTATATATATTTTGAGTGGAATGAATACTTTGGGTCATTGGTCTAGTGGTAAAGGTTGGGAGTTTGGACAAGAGGTTAGAGGTTCAAAACCCCTACAATCACAATATTTTTAGAATATTCGTTGTTAAGGATAATGGTTGATTACGAAGGTTACGGGTTGGTTGTTAAGGTTACGGGTTTGTTGTTAAGGTTACTGGTTTGTTGTTAAGGATATGCATTGGTTGTGAATGTTACGCTTGGGTTGTGAAGTTAGCCTACGCAACAAACTCGTAACATTAACAACAAACTCGTAACATTAACAACAAACTCGTATCCTTAACAACAAACCCGTATTCTTAACAACGAATATTCTAAAAACCCGTAACGGGTTGGTTGTGAAGGTTACGGGTTGGTTGTTAAGGTTACGGGTTTATTGTTAAGGTTACGGGTTTGTTGTGTAGGTTAACTTCACAACCAAAGCGTAACATTCACAACCAAAGTATATCCTTAACAACAAATCCGTAACATTAACAACAAACCCGTAACCTTCACAACCAACCCGTAACATTCACAATCAACCATTATCCTTAACAACGAATAATCTAAAAATATTGTGGCTGTAAGGGTTTGAACCCCTAACCTCTTGTCCAAACTCCCAAACTTTACCACTAGGCCAAGTGACCCAAAGTATTCATTCCACTCAAAATATATATACATATATATCCCAACGTGTAACATTCACAACCAACCCGTAACCTTAACAACCGACCCGTAACCTTAACATCCGACCCGTAACCTTAACAACCGACCCGTAACCTTAACATCCGACCCGTAACCTTAACAAACCTGTAATCTTAATAATTAAACACGTAACCTTAACAATTAAATCCGTAACCTTAACAACCGATCCGTTACCTTAACAATTAAACCTGTAAGCGTAACCTTCACAACCAACCCTTAATCTTAGCAATTAAACCCGTAACCTTAACAATCTCCCAATACAAACAAAAACAATTAGTTTCCTCATCAACAACGAAAATAACAAAAATAATAAAATAACAATCCCCTTCAATCATTTCAACATCATCACAGTAACATCATGATAAAGAGAGAGAGAAGTGATCTATAATCTTAACAATTGACTCGTAACCTTAACAATTAACTCGTAACCTTAACAATTAACCCGTAACTTTAACAATCTTCCAATACAAATAGTTAGTTCCCCTCATCAACAACAAAAATAATAAAAAACAAAAATAATAAAATAATCACCATCAATCATTTTAACTATCATCTCAGTACATCATGATAAAGAGAGAGAGAGAAGGGTATTATGGTCTTCGCATATTTTAATCTCTTGGGTTTTGTGTTTTGGGGCTCAGAGAATAAAATCTTTTTTTTTTGGGGCAAAGCACCCGTTGACAAAGTCTTGGGGGAGCATGTTTTCTTGGGTTTTGGGGGCTGGAAGCATTTTCCCCTTAATTTTATTATCATTATCCTTTTTTTATTAATGCAATTTAGTTGTCTTTCTGATTGCATCTGGTCTTGCCCTTAGGATTAGTCCTAGCTCCTTCTACTCAGTTGTTGAGGTTATCTCTTCTTGTTTTTCCAGAGAAAAACGTTTTGGGAATCAAATTCACTTGGTATGAACTAGTATACGAAAAATATTGATGTTAGTTTCAGCTGCAATGATTTCAATGGGGAGTATTTAGCATATATATAGTCTACTTGGTTATTGAGAAACTGGCATTTGACATAAATAATGATAGGAGTAATCTGTTAGCAATGACTAAAATATGCACTAGCAAGATTAATGATCTTGGAAATGTACAGAGAACTGCAACAGTAAACAGTTTACTTGGCAGTTAAACAACACAAGGACATGGTCAAGTCAAGCTAACAAGAGAAGATGAATGCACATTTCTGTTATTTGTCATTGGTGAATGTAAAACAAGAACAAAACTGCATATTGATAGGATTACACAGGGAATGGTTGCACCGCTTGAGATTTTTCAGTTAGGTCATTATCCTTACTAAAATCATTATCATGGGAATTTCATGCATATTTCTCTGTCTTTTACTTGAGACTTTGGGTAAGCATCATGCCGCTTAGATGAATGTAGTTCTTGATCATTCTAGTCTTTTGCTTAATCTAGGATAGTTTGGAGGGTTGCTCTTTTGTCTCATTCACTTAAAACTGCTTTGGGTTGTATCATAGTTTGATAGTTGTTCATGAAATTTCTGTACAAGTAGAGCTTTCTTAATGAAGCTGTACACAGTAACCAATCCTATATCAGGGAAGAGGCTGAAATGAAGCTGTTGAAGGCTATTTCACTCGCATGATGGTACATTCCAAGATAGGAATAATAAGAAACAACATGAGTGTATTAATAGATGGACAGAGAAAATGTTTGTTGGTTATTTGCAATCAAAATTGTGACTGAAGGTAAATGAGCAAGGGTGAGGAAAAGCTCGGGCATGATTGATTTGAATAAGTGAGGGTATTTACAGTTCAATTTGATAGGTGGACTTGTTTTTGAAATTGGCCTTTAAGGCTTCGCGCTGTTAACAACATGTACCTTTCGACTGTCATTCGTGAGAATCACATGTGCTGTGCTATGAGACAAGGGCTATATATCTTTCAACAGTGGTTTAAGGCAAGTGGTTTTCCAATGGTAATAGTGGATAAGGCAAGAAAGTATGCTCAATATCTTTTCCTTTTTTCATCTTTAGTCTCGTATATGTTTCAGGTAAAAGAGTAACCGACTGTCAACCAGCTAATAATTTGTTATGAAAAGGGGTTTGATGCTCTCTTTGATTACATAAAAAAAAATCAGTGATCATTTTCGTCACAAACAATTAAATGCACTTAAGCCCTTCGGTTTAGCAAAATGGGTGACAGGATCCACTGAGCTATGCAGCCTAAGCCCCTCCTTTTTTCAGTAACTGAGTGGGCACTACGTAAAAAGTACCCACTACTGACTTATAAATGTTGAAATTATAAATAATGCCTGAGTGGTATGCTTTTCTATAAACCTTTTTGTGTTGAATATCCAGATTTCCTTGAAGCAACTCTTCAACGATGCGTAAGTTTGTTTTACACAGAAACCACTGGCGTTTGCAACATCTAGCTTATCTAGATACGATGAGGGAACACAAGTCAGATAAAACCCGACTCGTATATTTTGCTCTATTGAAGCAGTCAAACTAGGGACACCAAATTGATTTCCTACCAATTCAATGTAATTTTGTTACATCACGGGTACGTCGTGTATTACTGCTAGCTATTGCCCTTTTGCGTCTAAGAATGCACGAGGAGCAGATGTGGGTATTTGTCGAATCTGTTCTCTTTTTTTAATGTACATGAACATGAGCACATTTTGTACAATGTTGGAACTCAATTTTCTTATCCAGTGAAAAATGTAAATTGTGTTGTCGACTGTTGTACAAATATTAAGCAGCAAGACCGAAAAATTGGAGTGCGCAATAAGTTCCCAAAACTAAAAATTGTCGATATTCACGGATCTCATAAAGTTTTGCGCGGAATTAACTTCTAATCATTCCATTTTTTTTTAACTTCTGCTTTTCTCTCGTTCTGCTGTGCAGGTTACAGAGGGGCTGCACGTTAAGATTATCATCAAGGGCGGAAATGAGATTGATGTTTGCTTTAACTTCTTCAATAAAGGCTAGAAGATGACCAAGTAAACGCTGGAACAACGAAAAGCTAAATGGTTTATATGATTTGGTTATGTTCAATATATTGACTTTGTACCTTCTAGTGTGCTAGAGCGACACGATCAGAATGAAAATAGTTGAATATTTGGTAGAACCAAGGGTTCGCAAATATGTATTTTGTTTGTTTGGTCTTTGATTGGGGGTCCGTACAACTATATGAGCATTCGTTTTCTGTGTGGGATCTTGGTTAGGGTCCTACAGAATTGTAATAGCTATTCCGGGCCGTTCCGTTAGTTGCAAAAATAAATTGCAGTCAATATTACATCATGTGATATTTGTTGTAGGAAATTAGTTTTAAATGCATTGTTTGGATATGTATAATTATATTGCAGGAAATATATTTCGAATGCAAATTTAATTTTTGGTTGAAAAGTAATTAGTGCAAAAGCTATATAATTTTGCCATGTAAAGAAACTTGGGTATAGATGATTTTATATTTGGATCTATGATGATTTATTTTGATGAGGTGGGATTTTTTAATATTTTTTATTTATTTATTTTTTATTTTTTTATTTTTTTAAGCTTGCGGCATTCCCTCTCACCAAATCAGTCATAACATTTGTTACAAGTTTTTTCCCCCTACCAAATGCACTTTATGTTAGTTTAGGTGTCGACCAAACCTGTAGACGAGAATAAGTCGGCGACAAGGAGCTTCAGGCGAGGTCGAAGCTTTGGCGTGGTCGTGGCGACGAGGTCGAAGTGTGGACGAGTCGGGCGAGCTCGAGAATCCCACGCAGGCGAGCTCGAGATCCAGAGTTGCAGGCGAGCTTCTGTCAGGCAAGAGCTAGTCTGGCGAGTTTTGGAGCAGGCGGGCTCCACCCAGGCGAGCTCGAGGGCATGTGTTACAGGCGAGTTTGAGGATTGAGTTGAAGAGCTCGAGCGGGCGATCAGTGACAGGTGAGCTTGTGGCGAAAATCCAGGCTGTCGACAGCCTGTCGACAACTCATCTAGGGTTTCCCTATAAAAGGGAAACCCCTAGGTGCGGATCCGACGCTTCTTACCCCTCTCTCTCTCTCTCCTCGTGATTTCTGGCAGCAGCTCTCTCTCCCTCTCTCTCCTCTCCCGCGATCTCTCTCTCTCTCTCTCTCTCTCTCTCTTTTCTCTTGTGCTCACGTGATTGGGAAGGAAATTAAAGAGAGAATTTATTGAAAAGAAAATTAAGAGGGGACATTTAAGAAGGGAATTTGTTATTGTAGCTACAGTAATAAATTAGTATTTATTAAGAGATCTCAGTTTGAGATCTGCTCTAAGTTTGTAATTTCTTGTTTGATTAATAAGAAATTTACTGTGTGGCTCCTAAAGACGTAAGCAGTTGCCGAACCTCGTTAAATCTTGGTGTATTTTCTCTATACCGTGTTTCTGCTGTTTTAGGGGTTTTGACGTAAAATTCCCAACAACTGGTATCAGAACGTGAAACGATCTAGAGAAAGTCAGATTCAAGTGGGAGTCATGGCCGCAGATGAATGAAAAGTGAGACTTGAAAAGTTTGATGGAACAGATTTTGGATTCTGGAAAATACAGATATAGGATTATCTGTATTAGAAAAATCTGTATCAACCACTTTCGGGGAAGAAGCCGGAGTCGATGAAGGAGGATGAGTGGAACCTTCTAGAAAGACAAGTCCTCGGTGTTATCAGATTGACGTTGACCCACAATGTTGCGTTCAACATATCGAAGGAGAAGACCACAACGGGTCTTATGGCAGTACTCTCAAATATGTATGAGAAGCCATCAGCCGCAAACAAAGTTCATTTGATACGACGGTTATTCAATTTGAGAATGGCAAAAGGCGCGTCAGTAGCACAACACCTCAATGAACTCAACACGGTCACAACCCAATTGAGTTCAGTTGAAATTAAATTTGATGAGGAAGTTCGGGCATTGATACTTTTTTCCTCCATACTAGAGAGTTGGAATGCTACAGTCACGACAATGAGTAGCTCGTTGGGAAGCAACAAGTTGAAGTTTGATGACGTTCGTGATCTGGTTCTCAGTGAGGAGATCCGACGGAGAGAGTCAGGTGAAGGTACAACCTCTTCAGTATTGCATACAGAGTCAAGAGGTAGAAATTCAACCAGAGGAAACGGACGAGGCAAATCAAACTACAGAGGTAGATCAAAGGACAAGAGGTCCAAGTCAAGGAATCCAAGCAACAACTCGAAAGCTATGGAGTGTTGGAATTATGGAAAGACCGGGTATTACAAAAATTAGTGCAAGAGTGCACAGAAGGAGAAGGAGGCGAAGGCAGAGGTGAATGTCACTTCCACCTCAGGAGGAGACAACGCATTGTTATGCTCTTTGGAGAGCAAGGATGAATCTTGGGTGTTAGATTCAGGAGCGTCGTTCCATGCACTTCTCAGAAAGAATTCTTCGAGAAGTATATCCCCGGAAATCTTGGATACGTATATCTTGGTGATGATCAACCGTATGCTATTGTGGACAAAGGTGTAGTGAAAATTAAGTTGAACGGGTTAGTATGGGAGCTGAAGGATGTCAGGCATATTCTTGACCCGAGAAAAAATTTAATATCCGTAGGCCAGTTGGCTGGTGAAGGATACACTATGACATTCCATAGAGATGATTAGAAGATCTCAAAGGGCGTAATGACGATTTCCCGAGGCAAGAAGATCGGTACCCTGTATATGACAACAGGTGCACGTTGTTTGATCTCAGTTATAGCAGACAATGATACTTCAAAGCTGTGGCACCAGAGACTCGGTCATATGAGTGAGGAGGGGATGAAGATCATGCACACAAAGGGAAAACTCCCAAGTCTAGAATCAGTTGATTTAGATATGTATGAAGAATGCATACATAGAAAGCAGAAGAGAGTCAGCTTTCAGACAAGTGGCAGAACCCCTAGGAAAGAGAAGCTAGAGCTCGTTCACTCAGATGTTTGGGGACCAACCACCACCGCGTCCATTGGTGGAAAATACTACTTCGTGACTTTTATCGATGATCACTCTCGGAAAGTGTGAGTCTACTTTCTAAAGCACAAGTCAGAAGTGTTTGAAGCTTTCAGGAGATGGAAAGCTATGGTCGAAAATGAGACCGGTCTGAAAATAAAGAAGCTTAGGACCGATAATGACGGTGAGTATGAAGACACCGGATTTAAGAAGTTCTGCTATGAGCACGTGATCAGAATGGAGAGAACCGTGCCCGGCAAGCCTTAACAAAATGATGTAGCTGAGCGGATGAACCGAACATTGACAGAGAGAGCCAGAAGCATTCGGATACAGTCAGGCCTATCAAAGCAGTTTTGGATAGAAACAGTTAACACAACAGCTTACTTGATCAACTGAGGTCCATCAGTTCCATTGGACCACAAAAATACCAGAAGAGGTATGGTGCGGAAAGGAGGTAAAACTCCCATATCTCAAAATTTTCGGTTGTATAGCTTATGTGCATATTAGTGATCAAGGTAGGAATAAGCTTGATTCCAAGTCAAAAAATACACTTTCATCGACTATAGTGAAGATGAGTTCGGCTACCGCATTTGGGACAACGAAAACAAGAAGGTGATCATAAGCAGAGATGTGATATTCAACAAGAAGGTGATGTACAAGGACATGCACAAGACAGATAACTCAGAGAGCGAGTCAATATTTGTAGATGCAGGTGATGTCCCGAGTAACCTCTCGGAAGAACCTAATGTATAAGGTCCTCAGCCAGAAGAGCCTGTTGGACAAGATGGTGCTCAAGAGCCCAACACACCAGCTTCGATTTTGAGAAGATCTTCACGGCCTCCTGTGCCCAACAGGAGATACATGAACTATCTGTTCTTGACAGATGGAGGGGAGCCTGAAAGCTATAATGAAGCTTGTCAGAGTGGAGATGCGAGCAAGTGGGAGCTTGCCATGAAAGATGAGATAAAGTCTCTCATCTCAAACCAGACGTGGGAACTAGCTGAGTTGCCTACGGGTAAGAAGGCACTCCACAACAAATGAGTGTACCGGGTGAAAGAGGAGCGGGATGGTTCCAGAAGATATAAGGTCCGGCTAGTTGTCAAAGGATTCCAATAAAAGAAAGGAATTGACTACACCGATATTTTTACTCCCGTTGTGAAGCTAAATACTATCAAGACAGTGATGAGTATTGTACCTGTTGAAGATCTTCATCTCGAGCAGTTGGACGTGAAGACGGTATTTCTTCATGGAGATCTAGAAGAGGAGATATACATGCAATAGCTAGAAGGTTTCTCAGAAGAAAAGAAGAAGAACCTGGTGTGTAGACTCAAGAAAAGCTTGTATGGCCTGAAACAAGCCCCAAGATAGTGGTACATGAAGTTTGACGGTTTTATGCACAAGGAAGGTTTCCAGAAGTGCAACGCCGACCATTGTTGCTACTTCAAAAGATATCAGTCCAGTTATATTATCCTACTGCTGTATGTTGATGATATGTTGGTTGCAGGTGCAGATATGAAGGATATCTGGAGTTTAAAGCAGCAGCTGTCAAAGGAGTTTGACATGAAGGATTTGGGTCTAGCAAAGAAGATCATTGGAATGTAAATCACGAGAGATAAGAAGAGAGGTCTCTTACTATTATCTCAGGCGGAGTACATCAACCGTGTTTTGCAGAGATTCAACATGGGTGACGCGAAGCCAGTGAGGATACCCTTGGCCAGCCATTTTCGCCTATCAAAGGATCAGTCCCCTTAGTCAGAAGAATAGAAAGAGAGTATGACTAAGGTCCCTTACACCTCAGCTATCGGAAGTTTGATGTACGCAATGGTCTGTACGAGACCAAACATTAACCATGTAGTGGGAGTGGTCAGCCGGTTTATGTCGAATCCAGGAAAAGCTTATTGGGAAGCGGTCAAGTGGATTCTGAGATATCTACGATGCACCACACATAAGTGTTTGTACTTTGACAAGGGAGAGGTGGAAGTGTAAGAGTACGTAGATGCAGACTTTAGAGGTAAAATCGATCATCGAAGAAGCACCACCGGCTATGTATTCACTATCGGAACTACAGCTGTTAGTTGGATGTCATAGATACAGAAGATTGTTACTCTGTTCACTACAGAAGCTGAGTATGTGTAGGCTGTCTAAAAATCACAATAGATAGCTGATCCCCATCAAACACCGATGATGGAAGTTACAATCTGACGACTTCCAGAAGGCTACAATTTGAAGACTTTCACGTAGATCGCTGAAGGTTACAATCTGACGACCTTCACGACAACCGATGAGAGCTCTAGTTTAACAGCCTTCATAATCAACATCGGGAGTTACAATCTGACGACTCTCACATATCAGAGAGCTAAA